ATTGCGGAATTAGAAGGATCACTATGCCCACCTCCAAAGTACCACTTTAATAAAGACACATAAAAGTGTACATTTAGCTGGACTCAGAAGTGAAATACTTTTTTCCCCAAATGGTTTTTGTTGTTTTTTGTTTTGCTATGTTAGGGATCAAACCCAGGCCTCATATATGCTAGGCAAGTGCTCTACCACTGAGTTAAATCCCTATACCCTGGAGTGGTTTTTATAATTAGTTGGTTTTGTTTTGTTTTGTTCTGTTTGAGAGGAGATCTCACTAGGTAACCCAAGCTGGCTTGGAACGTGCAGTGATCTTTTTGCCTCAGCCTCCAAAGTGCTGTCATTACAGGTGTGTGCCACACCACCCCTGGCTATAATTAGATTTTTAAATATGAATGTGTACTGAGCTTATAAAACTATTTAATATATTTATTGTGTGGTAGAACCCAGGGAGCACAGAGCTATATTCCTAGCCCTTGTTAAATTTTTATTTTTACAATGGGTCTTGCTAGGTTGCCCAGGCTGACGTTGAATTTAAGATTCTCCTGCTTCAGCCTCCTAGGCACCTAGAATTATGGGCATGTGTTATGTACCCAGCATAACTGATTTTTACCGTCTAACTTACATCTACTCTATTCTCCAGCCTCCCTCTCTTTTCTTTTAGTCCCTGTTTATCAAGTGCTATGCAATGGGCAAAGTGGGACACAGTCTCAGATTTGTATAAAACTAAGTATGTGCTTTCGTGTTTGTGAAACCCTATATCGTACACTATACTTAAAAGATTGCTAGCTGACACAAACAATTTAAAAATAGCAGACCCATGGATAGGTGACAAAATGTCACACTGGTAGCACCAGACAGCGTTAACAAAAATTACCAGATGTCACACACTCAATTCTGCTTTCACAGTTGATTAGACAGCAGCTTTGGTTGGAAAGAGGGAGAGAAGAGAAGTGACCTCATCTGAATTAGGAATTAGTTTATATTTTGCTGTTTTCTGTTTTTTCTCTCTTCCAAAATCCCTTAATAAGTGTAGAATTTGTCATACAATAAATTTTTAAAAATAATGACATATATTAGCTCCTCGTGATGTAATCATTATGTACCTCAAAGTTGTCCTAATAAAAATAAAAATTTCCAAAGTTATAAAATGATTCCAGGAGTTTAGCTCAGCAGCACAAGGGCCTGCCTGGCAAGTGTGAGGTAATGAATTCAATCCGTGGTACCAAAAGATGATTCCAACCTTGGAAAAGAAACCTAAAATATATATTCCTTTAACTGGGAGATTACTGCACAAACCAAAAGGTTAACTGTGCTTATCTTTGAGGTGACCTTGTTTTCTTCATATTTTCCATATTGTCTTAATTTTTCTCCAGTGAAAATATATTGTGTTTTATAATGTAAACATTAATTTTTGAAGACATGAAGAAACTAGTTTAAAGAAGATACAAGTCATTTTTTAAAAATTTGCATTTAGTTGGAAGGAAAAATTATGTTTAGATCATAGTTTTATTGGTCTGACAATGACCCAGAATTACTTAATTAATTAATTTATTTATTCTTGCTTTTTGAGAAAAGATTTTTCTGCATAGGTCTGCTCAGTATGTAATCCAGGTTGGCCTAAAATTGAGGTGATCTTCCTGCCTTAGCCTGCTGAATGCTGTGATTATAGGCATGTGCCACCATGTCCAGCCGGGATTTCTTTCTTTCTTTTTTTTTTTTTTTTAAAGAAAGAGGAATCCATTTTGATTTTGTGTGTGTGTGTGTGTGTGTGTGTGTGTGTGTGTGTGTGGTACTGAGGATCAAACTCACAACCTTGCGCTTACCAGGCAGGCGCTTACACCACTGAGCTAAATCCCCGGCCCCAGCCGGAATTTATCAAAAAAAAAAAAAAAGTTTTTAATGTTAATCCCCTCCCCTAGTATGGAAGAATGAGCCCAGAGTCTTTCCACTGAGCTACATCCTTAGCCCTTTTAAAACTTCTTATTTTGAAACAAAATTTCTCTCATTGGCTAAATTGCCCAGTCTCAACTCAAAGTTGCCTCAGGCTACCAGTAGGATCACATGAGTGCCCTTTTTATCCATGGATTCGCTGAAGTCAAATAGAATTAAAGAGAATAGTAGGAGAGATAAAAATGTTCTCTGCTTTTCTTTTTTTCTTTTTTTTTTTGTTCTCTGCTTTTCAACAGCCAGTGATGCCTTTCATCTGAAAAACACGGCCCATGGCTCTTGTTTGTCTCGTAGGGAAGAATGATTGGAAATGTTCAGCGTAGGCTGGAGAATAATGTTAGAGAACAGCCAGCTCCCTCCAGTGTCATCTTTCCCCGTGGAAAAGTTTTAATACCTCATGAGAGGGTCCCTGCGTGTGTGCTACCCTTCTAGAGGACTAAAAGGCACCCCTTCTGGAGACACACACCAAATGTTATTTGTGGGGGGTGTAAACTGCATAATTCTGAACTGTAAATGCAGAAACAGGAAACAGAAGTAGTCAATGAAGATCCCAGCTAAATTTGGGCCTACTTGATTTGCTCGATAGTCTTTATTATTCTGATAATACTAGACATCTAGAGAATATCTCTGGATTTTTGAGAACCACATCCTCCTCTAAGTATTCTTTGGTCAAAGACTGAAAAGAGCTGTTATGTCTGAAAGTTCTAATGGGTAGTGATTTTGAACTCCTGAAGAATTCTTAAGTAGGTTTCTCTGGTGAATACTATTTACCATTAAATTTGAATTCCATAGGAGATGTTGAAACTAGAGATGTTTCCAGAATTGGAAAAAAAGAAAGAAAGAAAGAAAAAGAATACGTTGAAGCTAGTCTAAGTCACATCTAGTTTTGTTTTTTTTTTTTATCGGTACCGGGGATCAAACTCACTACCGCCTGCTTGCAAGGCGGTGCTTATGCTGCTGTGCTAAATCCCCAGGCCCCATATCTAGTTTTTATGGATGTTAGTATTTGGTGATTGGGAATCTACATAAAGTTGTGATTATCAGGAAATAATGGAGAGAACATTGATACAGCTAATTGAATCCAGAATGTAAATTCTTTCTGCTGAATGAGTCTTCGATGACAAATTTTTGTATAGTAGTTTCTTTTTTTTTTTTTTGGGTACTGGGGATTGAACTCATGACCTCACGCATGCCAGGCAGGCGCTTATGCCACTGAGATAAATCCCCAGCCCACCATAGTGGTTTCTGATCAAGGTAGTGGTAGAAGATAGCATTCCTTGTATTTTGATATAGAGTTTAATTTTCAGGGACTCTGAATTACATAAAAGTATAATAAGGCTATGAAACAATTATATTCATAGACGTATTAGATGAGTCTAACATTGGAGTATTCCTGATTAGCTTTTGGAAAATATAAAGGTTTATGAAGTTTATAAAATAAAGTAGGCATTTTTAATAGAAAAATTATAATAGATTCTGAAAAAGAAATTATGTTATAAATACTAGCCAAATAATCTCTATAAAACTAGAGACAGGTGTAATGCTTTTGTTCTAATAGAATATTTAAAGAAATAAAAACTAAAAAAAATTTTTATTGATATCCTGGTAGTACTTGTAATAATTCCACCAAATGAGTTTCAAGTGCTAGTGAAGGGGGATTAAGTACTTAACAGTAAAATTAAAACAGTTGCATAGGAATTCATCCGTTGGTCATGATCTTCCCATTTTCACACACACAACATTAATACAAGTGATACACTTTATTTTGGAGACAAGGCCTCCCTATATAGTTTAGGCTGGGCTCAAACCTGCAGTCCTCTTGCCTCAGTCTCCCAAACTGCTGGGTTTAAAGTCATGCACCATCACACTCAGCAGGAACACAACTTTCTGTTTCAAACTAAGATAAACTAGTAGTATAAGTCAGACAAATTAGCATGCATATTAAAATATTTCAAAACAACATTAGTGAGATATTTGAACTCCTCTCTATTCCCTATTTATCTCTCTTCTATTTTGCTTTTCATTTGTATGTATATATATGTATGCACACACACACACACACACACACACACACACACACATATATATATAGTGTTGAAGAATTGGTTAAGAGATCTTATTAAATATATTTGTTTCCCCAAATAAGACTCTGATGTTTACACTCTGATGTTAACACTTCCACCTCTTTGTCACAAATACTAAAATGAAAAAAAAATCAGATGTCTACAGTTTTCCTTTTTACCGCTGGTGACCATTAGTTGAAACATCTGATTTCTATGTGTGAACTCATAGACCAAAAGTTGCCAAGTTTTGTGAAGGACTAAAGATGAAATATTTTAGGATTTCCAGGCCACATGGCCTCTGTCGCATATTATTCCTTGTTTTTGTTTGGATTTGCAACCCTTAAAAAAATGTAAGTATAATTCTTAGCCCAGAAACATAAAAAAACAGGAAGCTGGCTGATGCAGGCAGAAGTTTGTAACTCCTGATAATAGACAAAAGGATAAAAGTCTGGAAATTGCCATTGTGTCCAACTTGATAGAACTATTTAGTGGTAAGAGTAGCACAAGAATTCTAGATTTTAGCCATTTTTCTCTACTGTATCTGTTACATAAATTTTACCATCTTTCTTCCAGTTGCCATTCTGATAATTATGTTGCATATTATATTTTTATTCTCTCTAAGTTTCATTTATGTACTTTGAATTATTTTTGTGCTTGAATTTGAAGAGCATTGTGAATGGTGTTTGAATAAAATGCTTAGTCCAGAGAGTTGGCATGTTTAAATCCAGAATGTGGGCAATAATGTAAATTATCTATTTAGACTATTATCATGGAAGCTTCTTTTTTGTTTGTCTTTTGTGTTGAGACGTTGGCTTTGTTTTAAGACTTTTCCTATATGTTTTTGATTTAAAAACTGTGGCTGCCTTTGCCTTTGATAACATTGTTTTAGATTAATTTATTGTAACTTTTTGTAATATTTCTACTTTACAATGCATTTGAAATGATTACATTGAGCATTCTTTGTGCTTAAAATAAAATTATTTTATTTTTTAGGGCGCATGGGAATAAATTTCCATCATCCTGGAACAGATAATATTATGGCACTTAACAGTAAGTCTTCATATAAAATATTCCATAAAATTAGCAAATTTGCAAATGTTATTTCTACTTTCCTAAATTAATTGTTCAGTACTTTTCAGCCTTTTACTGAGCATAGTACAATGTACAGATTATTGTGTACCAGTATTCTCAAAGTGATCTCTGCACCAACAGCATCAATATAATCTCAGTCCTTTCTAGACCTACTGAATTAGAAACTTTAAAAATTGGACCCAGAAATCTGTATATTGAAAGTCTCATAGGTAATTCTGATGTAGGCCAAAGTTTGGAAATTACTGTTCCTCACTACAGTTGTAAAATGTAACTATGTAAGGCAAATCTGGCCTGATGCCAGATTTTAAATATAGTTTTATTGGACCGCACCCATTCATTGATGGGTTGTCTGTGGCTACGTTTGTACTTCAAAGACAGAGCCCAGGAAGCCTAAATTATTTGCTGTCTCACTGCAGAAAATGTTTGCCAACTTTTGCTCTAACTATTAGAATGGGATATTGAAAGAAGGAGGCAAATGGAGCTGGAGGGAGTAAGGGGACTAGCGTGACAAACAGGAGTGAATAAATAATTTAAACATACCTGAAATTTTTCTCATTGTGGTAAATAGCTGACATTTATTTCAGACTAGGTATCCCATTAGTGAAATTGGCATGTTATACATATCAAAAACTTGCAGATAGGAGATAATTTAGTCAGTAGGGTTGCAGAGTTAAATTCTGGAGCAACCAAAAAATTACTAACTGGAAAATCATCATGTTAATTAACACTAAAAGAAATGCTTAGCTAGTGTCAACTCTCTTTTCTAGTGTCTGTAGACCAAACAGATTTGCAGAACAGTCTTTAAATGGAAATTCCCTGTTGTCAGAAGGATGGACCTACATAAGCCATTGAATCTCCCAGGGCTAAAATTTTCTCTGTTGAGTGATACTGCATGGTCTCTCCTATCCTCCCAGATATATAAGCCAACTCTCAGTACACATGAGAGACAAGACAAACTGTGAGTCATCCAGGATACAATATTCCCTTTCTGATTTTTTTTTAAGTATTGTGGGTTGAAGCCAGGGTCTTTGAACTGAGCTACATCTTACCCCTTTTTATGATATATTTCAAGACAGGGGTCCTTAAATTGTCCAGGCAGGACTTAAATTCATAATCTTCTGTCTCAGCCTCCGAAATACTGCAGTGACATGTGTGCCACAATGCCAGGCTCAGTTTTCCTTTTGATTCAGTAAGAAGGTTGAAATTCCTAAATTAGAGTTTCCTAAAACATTTCAAGTTATCTCCAGAATTTACATTCACAGTTCCTTGGCTCTGATACGCAGCCTGCTTAACCAGGGAGTGCTGCTGAGAACCACATTCCTAGTGCTTGCTAATGTAGGTCCTAATCTACTTTATGCATTCTATATAACTACAGTATTACCCCTTCCTGTGAAAAACTTTCAAAACTGTCCACCTTGGTCCAGGGATTTAGCAAAAAAAAAAAAAAAAAAAAAGAAAAGAAAAAGAAAAAGAAAAAGAAAACAAACAACCTCCCCACCAAAACTGTCTACCTTTCTTTTTCTAATTTCTGAGTTTTTTATTTTTGTTTTTTTGTTTTCTGAGATGGGGTCTCACTATGTAGTTCAGTCTAGCCTTGAATTTGCTATGTAGCCCAAGATGGCTTCAAACTCACCATGATCCTCCAGCCTCAGCCTCTTGGCTGCTGGGATTACAGGGTTGTGCCATCATACCTGACTCTCACTTTCTAATTTCTGAAAGGAAGGTCACTTTATATTGAGAATTATGCTACTTCTAATTTCTGTTTAATGGAATGAAAGTTAATAAACATGCTTAATTTGCTGAGCTTCAGAAATAATGGTGACGACTCCAGTTAGATACTGGAATTTAGAGTTGAATTTTTAAAAAGTTGTTGGTGGTGGTACATGTCTGTAATCCAGGCATTAAGTAGGCTGAAGCAGGAGGGTTGAGTGAGATCCAGTCTCAAAACAAACGAACAAACAAAAAATAGAACAGTATTGTATCTGCCTGAAGCAATTAGAATATATTTGAGAAAAGACCTAATTTGACATTGAAAAAGAAGGAGAAAGGGAGAGTGTGTTCCAGAGAGAGACCCCCGGCCCCGGGTGCAGTGGAGGTGCTGCGCCCCGGGGCCGGGTGGGGGGGGGGTCTCTCCACGCATTCCCGAAATAAAGCCACCACCGCCCACCCCTTCCACATACCTCTTTCCCTTCCTTCCTCTTCTCCCTTCTCTCAGACCTAACAGACATGATGTGAGTCTCTTGGAGGAGGGACAAGATAACATTTGTGATTTTTGGTACAAAAGAAAAGAAGTTAAAAGTCATTTTTCAAAAGGTTTTGATTATCTTTGATTTTCTTCAATTCTCTTCTTTTAAATAAATAGAAGTTTCATTTAAGTGCTTTCCATTTTGTACCTGTTGCTTAAATCTGTCTTTTAGCCTCAATTTCCTAATTTCTGAGAGAATGGGACTGATTAGGTAATCTTAATGATTGCTTTCAGTATGTAGCTTCAGTGATGCTGCAATGTTTGTGGGTATCAGAAAGGTGGTTTTGCTGATGTTTGTATATATTAGATATATAAGGAACTCCACAGAGTTGCCATGTGATGTCAGGTAGGATAGTGCATCAGTGTTCAGATGATTCTGCTGTTGAGGCCCAGCACTGAAGAGACTGCTGGCTCCTCAGAATAAGACATAAAAGAGCCTGACGTTTGCATTTCCTACTAGTCACTTTTCTTATTGCTGGGACAAAATACCGGGTACCTGCAGCTCAGGGGAGAGGTTTGTTTTTGCTCATTTTAGAAAGGTCTTTTTTTTTTTTTTTTTTTGAGACAGGGTCTTGTTATGTGTCCCCAGCCTGCCTGGATCACAACAATCTTTTTGCATCAGCCTCCAAAGTGCCTAGATCACAGGCATGGCTGAATGGCCTAGGATGTACCCCTTGGGGTGAAGCCTCTAATGACCCCTTCTTCTGATGAGACTTCACCTCACAGCACCACATGTAGCTGTATCACCCCCATAATCCAGTCACCTTTTACAAGCCCTGTGAGCACATGAGGTTCTTGAGAGACATCTAGATATGAACCATACTCCTATGACTAGTTTTAGAGTTGTCTCCACTTTGAGATGATAATAATCCTCCTTGAGAGATATATGTGGAACCACCTTGCTTTGATAGATTTATGTGCTGTGATAAAGCTCTTCTTCCCTTTTGTATAATTGAGCCCAGCTCTTCTAGTGACATCTGTGTTAGCACATACACAAATGCACTAGTGTTTGTTTGTCTTCTATTTTGCCTACTATTTGTTGCTCTAACAATTAATGTCCTGTGACTGGTCTTTCTTCTTCCTCTGCTTTCATATGGGAATAGCTGAAATGAATTTAGAACTTTATGAAAACAGAATTTGTGACTATTGGAAGATACTAGACTGAAGTTGAAGTTGAACTATCTTTTCAGAAAAAAGGAATTTAAAAAAACTTAGGAAAATTGAAGAAATGCTGAAATTTAAATTGAAATGAGTTGTAATTCCTTTTTCTTGCTCCTTTTTACTATATAAAACGTTTCCTTTTTACTCAAAGCTTCCATTCACTGTTTTCAAATCTCTTTCATCCTTCTCTCTCTGTCTCTCTGTCTCTCTCTCTCTCTCTCTCTCTCTCTCTCTCTCTCTCTCTCTCTTTCAGGCTGGCCTTGGACTCTCCGTGGTCCTCCTGCCTCAGTCTTCTGAGCGCTAGGGTTACAGCCTGTGCCCCCACGCCTGGCGTTCTTCCCTTTCTTCACCTCACAAAACCTGAATCATTCTGTTCTCAGCTCTCTGGGCTTAATAGGAAGAAGGGTGTCATGGGGGAGCTTTCTCACTTGCCAGTATTGCTTCCCAATTTGAAGGGACCAGTTTCCTCTGTGTGTGTGTACTTAGTATATGTGTTCCACTTATACATTCCACTGAGAATCGCCACTCCTGATTTTACCTAGAAGACAAAATATAAAGTTTAGGAGAGGACAATAGGGTATTAGCTGTGGAAAACAATAGGAATTAGGAAGACATTTGTGGGCATTTGAGTATGAAAGACTGGCAGGTTGGGCTGGGGGTTTAGCTCAGCGGCATAAGCACCTGCCTTGCAAGCACGTAGTCATGAGTTCGATCCCGGGTACCGGTAAAAAGGAAAAAAGACAAATAAATAAATAAATAAATAGATAGGTAAATAAATAAATAAAGACTGATAGGTTTTGTATAAAGCCAGAGCCTACTGATTTTTTCTGTTCAGGACTGAATCTAGAAACAATTAGCAGGCCAGCTTTTGTGATGGAACCTAAGATGTGCAGTTAAATTTTGGCTTTTGTCTAAAATACTAAGTTCTCAAGTATTGTTAGTATTAAAAGAGAGGTACAGAGTCGTTCGCAGTCCATCAATAAAACCTGCTATTTGTCAGTATTTACAAAATACAGTTCTAAAACAGTAGTGCCTTTTCTATTAAAATAGAATATATTTTATCTTAGCTTTCTAATAATTATGAAAATTCTTTTTCTTTACCCTTACACCAAAAACACTAGAAGCTCACATAATACATTCTTCTTGCTGGGAAAGGAAGCAGCTGCTGAGGGTACCTCTAGCTGTATATACTACTAGATCCATCATTCTGTCACTAATAGTGGCATGTGGTTTTGGTTTTGGTTTTGCATTGTGGTCTTTTGTAGGATTGATACCTGTCTTGACTTTTGTTTGATTATGTTGACCCTCAGAAAAGGATACTTGCATCTTCGTGATTGGCCCAAGTGAACCAAATTTACTGTCAAATTAATGTTCAAAATCCGAATGCCTGGTATGAGTTTTAAAGTAGAGATATTGCTGTCAAGTGTGATTGATCCTCTTTTTCCAAACAGAAAATAGCCTGGGGAAACAGGTAAATAACAGAAAGTTGCTTGATGAGTACAAAACTACAAAATAGTGTGGCCGGGACCCAGCTGGAGAGCAGGTGACACCT